AGAGGCTGTGCTTGTCTGGCTCGTTGGGCACCCAGAAGTCCTGGGGGGCTCAGACCTCAGGCCATGGATCAGCTGGAGCTTGAACACTTCCCAGCTGTTTCTGCCGCGTTTGTTGGGATTTTCTGGCCCTGTCTCTGGCCCCTGAGAGCAGCATCCACAGCAGTGCCATGTGCCCTTTTGTGCTGCTCCTGCAGCATCCTGATGGCATCCAGCTGGCCAAGAACAACCGGACACACGTTACCGGAGAGGAGACAGAGCGGAGGAGTCGGGCTCCGGAGCTGTGCCCACCAGCCCGTGGGGCTCGGTCTGGGGTGATGCTCACACTGCATCACCCACGTCATTGTAGGGAGCCCCAGCAGAGCTGCAGCAGCCTGAGCCCTTCCTTGGGCCGTGGAATTTGAAGGGGTTGTTTGAAACCCAGCGTCTGCCCCAAGCCTGGGACCAGGAGAGCCGCTCACACACCGAGGGCCAGCACTCGAGGACTGACCGGGGCCAGGACACATCAAGGCCAGGACAGACCAGGGCCAGGAGAGATGAGATCGCAGTGGAACGGAGAGAAAGGATCTTTGTGCTGCTCACACAAGTGTCGCCTCGGGGAGCAGCTGCAGCTCCCCTGCCCAGGAATGCTGTGGATGGGAACGCCGTGGCCGGCACCTGTCTGGCCAGAGCTCCCCTGGGCTGACCTTTCCCCCCTCACTCCCTGCCTTGCTGTCCTGCTGCAGCCCCCAGTCCCTGCCCTTCCAGCCCTGCCCCGCCGCTCTCTAACTGGGGCGAGGGTCCTGGTGCCATGGGGACCCTGGCCTGCTTTGCTGGCTGCCCGCTTGTGGTTGGGATCCTGGGACCCCTGCAAGGTGGCAGAGCCAATCAGGGATGTGGGATGCTCCTGGGAGAGGCTGGATCCTGCCCAAGCAGCCGGCACTGCCTAAGTTGTCTCAAGTTGCCTGTTTCTCCCCCATTGTGAAGGCCCTGCCCTGTCACGCTCCGTAGGAGCCGAGTGGGGTGAGGGCTTTGGAACTCCCCAGGCACCAAGTGGGTGCTGCTGCGGGGTGAAGCACTTGGTGCTGCTTGGGGTGCTTGCAGCCTCTGCCTCTGCCTCCCCTCTGCTCTGCTGCTGCCGCTGGCTCTGTCCCCTGGGTACTGGGGTCCCCAGTGCCACGGCAGGAGCATCCCAGCAGCGCATGTTGCCTCATTAACCCGGCTGCAGCAGCAGCAGCAGCAGCAGCAGCAGCAGCATGGTTTCCTTTGGTCTCTATTCCTTTTCTCCTTCTTTTTTTTTTTTCTCTCCTTCTCTCCCCTGACTCCTCCAGCTCTGCCCAAAGCAAAAATCGAAGTGGAGTCCTACTCGGCCCACCCCGGTGACCTCCTCCAGCTGCGCTGCCGGCTGCGGGATGACGTCCAGAGCATCAACTGGGTGCGCGACGGCGTCCAGCTGGCCGAGAACAACCGGACGCGCATTACCGGGGAGGAGGTAGAGGTCAGGGACGCGGTGCCCGAGGACTCGGGGCTCTATGCCTGCATGACCAACAGCCCCTCGGGGAGCGAGACCACCTACTTCTCCGTGAACGTCTCAGGTTTGTAGCAGCCCTGGCTGCGCAGGGAAGGGGCAGCCGCGGGGGCCGGGCTGTGGAGCGAGGAGCAGGCTGCCTCTGCACGGCCTGCACGCCCCGCCGGCCACACGCAGTGAGTTTGGGGCCGACCTGCGACTCGGGGGTGCCTGGAGGAGTTTCCAGCGCGGTGCCGTGGCTGCTTGGCCACTGCAGTGTGGGGAGAAGCGGCCGGAGGTCGTCGTGTGTTTGTCTGCACGGGACTGGGGGGCTGCGGGGCCACCCCAGGGGGGGCACGCGCTGGGTGGGAGCCACAGCCTGTGTCGGTGCTGATGGAGTGTGAGGCTGGAGAGGGAGGAACGCTGGAGCTGGGGAGGTGTTCGCCGAGGCTGGGGCATTTCTGTGCCTGTGGGGTCTCAGCTGCCGCCCCAGGGGGGTTGGTGGACACGGGGTGAGGAGCTCCGAAATCACTTCTATCAGCAAATTGCTTCACTGTGCCCATGGCTGTGGGCACTGGGATGGTGGCACTGTTGGCCCTGGTTGTGCTGGGGGTGTGCAGAGTGTTCCCCCAGGATCCCCGTGCCCCCACTGGGCATCAGCAACTCCCTGCCTTGGCCACCCCACTGGGCACAGCTCCCGGCTACCCACCCACCATGCTCTGGTCCCCACCAGCCCCGCTCACAAAGGTGCACAGATGTTCAGCGGGGCCATCTCTTCTCTTGCAGACGCGCTGCCCTCTGCGGAGGATGATGATGACGAAGATGATTCCTCGTCGGAGGAGAAGGAGGCAGATAACACCAAGCCAAACCGTACGTGTGTGGGGTTTGCCCTGTGCCAGGGCGAGGGGAGGCCAGGGGAGGCTGGGCACACTGGGCACACGTGAGCAGTGCCCGGGGGTGGAGACAGGCAGGTGAGGATGGGCAGGGGCTGCCTGAGCCAGCCTGGCCGGCAGTGGTGAGGGTGCAGTGCAGGGTGCAGGTCTGGGTGCACTGGGTGAAGCAGCCAGGGCAGAGCAAGGGGACAGGCCAGCACGGCTTCGTTGGGGCCACTGCTGCTGCAGCCACGTGAGCTGAGCACGCACCCTGCAAGGAAAGGGCTGCTGTGACTCATGGATAATGCCCAATGTCCCGGAGCTCCCCTCCCTACCGGACCCAGGCTTGACTGCTGGCATCTCTCTGGATTCCTGGCTCAGCCCTGCCCTGGGCATCCCTGGGGTTACACCCGGGACTGGAGGCTGGTGGGTTTGGCCGTACTGAGCCCCCACTCTGCTCCGCAGAGGCCATTGCTCCGTACTGGACCTATCCTGAGAAGATGGAGAAGAAGCTCCACGCTGTCCCTGCCGCCAAAACGGTGAAATTCAAGTGTCCCTCGAGCGGGACACCCAACCCCACGTTGCGCTGGCTGAAGAACGGCAAAGAGTTCAAACCTGACCACCGCATCGGGGGGTACAAGGTACGGGGGGGGAATGGGATGGGGGGGAACAGCCTCTGCACCTCCAGGGCTGGGGGGCTTGCAGGGAGGGGGAGGACTGGGAAGGGTCTCTGCAGCTTAAGAGGCACCGAGCCCCTGCCTGCGCCACCCCGGCGGGGGCAGATGGGCCCCTCTGACATTCCTGTTCCGGAGTGGCCCTATGGCAGTGACCTGCTTCTGGGTCATGTTTGCACCAGCTCAGCCCTGGGGGAGGGAGCTCATGGGGGAGGGGGCTCGTGCTGAGGGAACCAGCCCGGCTCGACCACCTCTGCCTAATCCCCCCACCAAGGAGAGGGGTCTGGGTGTCCCTGGGAGCCCCGGGGTGGAGGAGCCCCTCCGTGCCCAGCAGTGGTTGGCAGGAGCTCTGCCAGCAGCCCAGAGGTGCCCCAGCCCACATTCAGGGGTCACATTGGCTCCCTGAGCTGGGGAGGGGGCTCAGTGCTGCTTCCCCAGCACCCACAGTTGGCCCAGGCTGCAGGTGCCACCCAGGTGGGAGGGGGGCTTGGCTCTCCCCTTCCCATGGCTCTGGTCCTGCAGTGGGGTGCAGAAGAGCCCTGGGGGGGTGACCAGCATGCTGGGACCCCCAAGTTTCTCTCCTCCCCAAGGGAGGGGGTGACCCTTGCAGCAGCTGTAGCCCAGGGACCTGTGGGTGACCCTACAAGGCACCAGAATCCTCTTTTTCCATCTCTCTTAATTTTCAGGAGCAGGGCTGCAGCCTCCCTGAGGCTTGCACCCCTTGGGGGGTGTCTCCTTGGCTGAGACCCCTGAGCCAACCTGGGGTTGTGTGTCCACGATGTGCCACTGAGTTGCACAAGCAGCCGTGGCCATGCCAGGTGCCAGGGACAGCAGCAGGAATGCAGCCACATCACAGCTCCCAGCTCCATGCAGAGTGTCCTGGGGAGGGATGCAGGCTCCCCATGGGATGGAGGCTCGTGGGTGGGGAGGAGAGAGGCTGCTGGCAGCGTGGTGGCTCCTGGCCCATGGCAGCCCATGCCCCGGATAGCTAATGGGGCTGAAATGCAGGACTGTGCAAACTGCCAGTTTCCAGCTGGGAGGGAGGAATGCAGCCCCACGGAGCAGGGCTCAGGGAGCTTTTGCCAAGAGGAGCCAGAGCCGAAGCTGGCAGAGACAGGGCTGGCTGTTGGAGAGCCTCTGGTGCCCCGTGGCCAGGGGGCCTGGGAGGTTCTCAGCCCAGCTGAGCTGCTGGGACCATCCCAGAGGAGACGTGCTGGGTCAGCAGCACTCACAGAGGACACACAGGCTGCACCCGCCCACTGACCAGCGTGGTGCCCACTGGCTGTGGGGAGCAGTGCAGGTCCGAGCCCCAGGGCCAGCCAGGGAAGCAGCTCTTCCCGGAGGAACAAAGCCAGTCTGTTCCCTGCTCCCACGGGGGCCGCTGCAGAGGGGTGTCCCCGCACACTGGGCGGACCCATCGCGCTCCCCTCCCAACATCTGCTTCCCGGAGCAGTTGGCTCCGTGGCCAGGCTGTCCCAGGACAGCTGGGAGCAATTACAGCCCTTCTGTGGGGAAGGGGAAAGGTGACCTCAAAGGGAGATTTATGTCCCGCCCGTGCCGGGGGCCGGGGCTGAGCCAGCTCTGACGTGAGCGGGACCAGGGGCTCGTGTGCCCTGCACGTAACTGGCTCTGTCCTCCCCGTGCCCCCAGGTCCGCCAGGCGACCTGGAGCATCATCATGGACTCGGTGGTGCCATCTGATAAGGGCAACTACACCTGCATCGTGGAGAACAAGTACGGGAGCATCAACCACACCTACCAGCTGGATGTCGTGGGTGAGGAGCGCGGGGCTGGGGGGCTCACCCGTGTTTGGGGGGCTCACCCCCCAAACCTCCCCAAGCAGGAATGGGTGCTGCACCCTGGAGAGGCAGGGATGGGAGTGCTCACAGGGAAGGGGCTCACCCGCCATCCCTCTACCATCCCACCCCTGTGTCCACCTCTGTGGCACAGCAGGTCCATGAGCCATCCAGGCAGAGGGTTCACCTCATCCTGTTCTGGGGATTTTTAATTGTGGTGAAAATAATTTCATAGACCAGACAGAAACTTTTTTAATCGCCTTATTAGCCATAATTCCCAGCTGGGAAGGCTGGTCTGAGCAGTTCCACATGTGGAGCTGCTCTAAATGCCAGTAAATGAACCATTAAAAATGTGATTTAATTTGATTACACTGAGCAAACTGAAGGGAACAGTCAGCGAGGTGAACAAAGGGGTTTGTTAATGCTGACTCACCACAGTGGCAGCCGCTTTGTTAACGGCCGGGGCCCTCCCTAGGTTTGTTTGACCTCTGACCCCCCCAATAGGTGCCGATGTCCCTGTCCCCGTGCAGGGGTTTCACCTGTCCCTGTCCCTGGCTGCTCTCAGGGACTCTCAGGGAGGGGATGCCATGGCTGTGCTGGGTGTGCCAGTACCCCACACCCAGGGGGCTGCAGGGTGCACCCGTGGGTGGGCAGTGGGCACCCCAGACCCCGCTGTAAGGTGCCCCGTGTCCCCGGTCCCGCAGAGCGCTCCCCGCACCGGCCCATCCTGCAGGCAGGGCTGCCTGCCAACAAGACCGTGGCCCTCGGCAGCAATGTGGAGTTTGTCTGCAAGGTCTACAGTGACCCCCAGCCACACATCCAGTGGCTGAAGCACATCGAGGTGAACGGCAGCAAGATTGGCCCCGACAACCTGCCCTACGTGCAGATCCTGAAGGTAAAGCCACACGCCGGGCGGCCCCGGCTGCAGCCCCCGGCTCGCCCGTCCCCGGGGCAGGAGCGGGGCAGTGGCAGCCACGTGGATGGGCCAGAAGAGTCCCCTGGGGCTAAGGACCACTGGCCTTGGGGCAGCTGGAGCCCCAGAGCTGTCACCAGCCTGCTGGAGTGCACCAGAGCATCACAGGGTGAAGGGCAGGGAGGGCTGCCCCAGGGAGAGAGCACGGAGCTGGAGCTGGGAGCTGAGCCCTGGATCATCCCAGTGAGAGCAGCTCCCTCTGCCCCCAGCTCAGCAGGCAAACTGGCTGCTGGTCTGACTGATGTCCCTGCTGTGGCAGGGGGTCAGACTGCGTGGCCTCCTAAGATCCCTTCCAACCCAAACCATTCTGTGATTCCATGCAGCCATCCACAGCTGTGCCTTTGACCCCTGTGGAGCAGGGGGGAGCAGGGTTACACCCCCATGCCCGTCTGTGTCCCCTGTTCCTCCCGTGGCTCCCTGTGTGCAGCCCCATCCCTCCCAGCTGGCCGTGGGTACCGGGGGGAGCAGCCCCTGTGCTGATTGATGCTGTCGGTGCTGCCATTCCTGAGCACATCCATGTGACTCCATGTTGTTGGTCTGTTCCAGCACTCGGGGATTAATAGCTCTGATGCGGAGGTGCTGACCCTGTATAATGTGACAGAGGCGGAGAGCGGGGAGTATGTTTGTAAGGTTTCCAATTATATTGGCGAGGCCAACCAGTCTGCGTGGCTCACTGTCACCAGGCCCCTGGCCACAGGTAATCGGAAGGACGCCCGGCGGGTGCTTCCTTAGACCGTCGCTCCCCGGCGGTGGAAAACAAAACCCTGGGCTCTCTGGTTTCTGCTGTGTTTCTGGTGCAACAACCATGGAAAAATACCCAGCGGGGCCGGCTGGGCTTTGTGCTCTGTGTGTGTGTCCTGGTGTCTCTGCTGTGTCCCGGTGTGTCTCCTGTGTCCCAGTGTCTCTCCTGTGTCCCAGTGTCTCTCCTGTGTGCTTCCCACCCTACTGTGCAGACACTGGTGCTGCTCAGGTGCCTGGTGGGTCAGGCACCAGCCAGGGCACCCCATCTGCCTGGTTGGGGATCACACAGTGCTGTGCCCCCAGCTGTGCTGCTCTCCTGTCTCCATGGTCCCGTTTCCATCCTCCTGTCTCCATCCTACCATCTCCGCCTTACTGCCTCCATGCTTCCATCTCTGCCCTCCCATCTCCATCCTCCTGCCTCTGTCCTCCCATCCCCATCCTCGTCCTCGTCCCCGTGTCACCGAGCCAGCCGGCCGGCTCTGCCTGGGCTGATTTCTCCATGCAGCCCATCGCCAGCATGTTCGGATGGGCAGGACACTCAGTTTGGTGAAGGGTTTTAACCAGCATCTCCGTAGGTCCACCGGGATGAGTGGTCATCCCGAGGGTCTCTCTAGCAGGTCTGCAGTGGTCTCTGTCTGCTCCCCGGGGGTCTGGCAAATGAGACTGGGCTCTCCCTCCTCTCTGGCCTCCTTCCCAGAAGATCTCATGTGGTTTGCTTCTCCGTTTTTTGCTTCCATTTTTCCCTCCAGACGGCTGGTGTTAACACGACAGACAAAGAAATGGAAGTCCTTCACTTAAGGAATGTCTCATTTGAGGATGCTGGGGAGTATACATGTTTGGCGGGTAATTCTATTGGGATCTCCCATCACTCTGCATGGTTGACAGTTCTCGAAGGTATATACTCCTCTTCCTCTCCCTTTCCTCCCTCCTTTCCAACGTATGCATTGCGGTCCGGGAGAGAGCACTTCCCAGCCCCTGCCCCCCAGAGTGGGTCAGCACAGATGCTGCAGGGCTGCTCTGCAGCTGGAGCGGGATGGGCAGTGTCCCCCCCACTCTCTGCCCACCTCCACCCCAGTTGTCTGCCCCCTGCTCTCTCCCTGGCCCAGGCAATGCATACCTGGGGAACTTTAACCAGGGGCTGCTCCGCCGGGGCAGGACGGTCCCGCAGCCCCGGGGCCAGGCCAGCCCTGCCCGGCCCGGGGGGCACTGAGCAGGGTTTGGGGGACTGGCAGCACTGCCTGGGGGGGCCTGGCCTTGCCCTGTGGTGCGGGGCCGTGCGGGGCTGTGTGTGCTTGCGCCCTGGGGACGGCTGCCCCATCCCCATTGATGCTGCTCCTCTGCATCAATGCACGGACCAAAGCCGGATAACAGCAGCGGGAAAGTTTTTGTGGTGCTGTTCACTGCTCACTGCTTGCCAGCCAAAAACTTTCCCTGTTATCAGCCACTGCTTTGTCAGCCGGGTGTGCCCAGAGGTGGGGCAGGAATCTTCAGCTCCCTCTTACACCTCTCTCTGAGGCTCTGCTCTTTGGGGGGGTCAGGCTGGGGGTGCTGCAGGGGGTGCAGGGGCAGCCCCCGCCCTGCTGGATTCACCACGAGCCCTGGCACGTGGCTGCAGGCTCTGAGCTGCTCACGGCTCCAACACCACCTCAGCCACCAAGGCAGGGTCTGCAGGTCCCTCCTCCCCGCCATCCCACGGTCCCACAGCAGGTCACTGCCACTGGAGGTGCCACTGGCTGCTCTGCCCTGAGCTCTCCCCAGTACTTACTGGTAATGCCTGGACTCCTGCAGCCCCGGGCACTGCCAGACACTCCCCTTCATCCCACTGTGTGCAGGGAAAGCCCAGACCCCAAGGGACCTGCAGCTCTGAGCATGGGCAGAGTGTAGCAGCACTGACAGGGACCTGTCCATGCAGGTGCCCGTAGTGCCACATCCCTGTGGGGTGACTTCATGACTGTCTCAGTTGGCCCCATCCCACCCCTGGAGCCTGTGGATGCAGTGGAGGCATTGCTTGGCCTTGGGGATGAGGAGCTGGGGGGTGCAACAGTGCCTTCCCTGCCAGGGTGGGTGGGCAGCCCGCAGTCCCTGCTGCACCGAGGTCCCCACCAAGCGTGGGGAGGAGCCGGGGGCTCCCCCAGTGCTGCTCCTGGGCCCTGGGGGCTGGTGGGTGCTTAATGAACACCCTGTTCATGCTGAACCAGCTATTGAAGACACCCCAGCCATGATGACATCCCCCTTCTACCTGGAGATCATCATCTACTGCATCGGGGCCTTCCTCATCTCCTGCATGGTGGTGACCATCATCATCTACAAGTTGAAGAGCACCACCAAGAAGACGGACTTCAACAGCCAGCTGGCCGTGCACAAGCTGGCCAAGAGCATCCCCCTGCGCAGACAGGTAACAGAAAGTAGAGAGGGGGTTTGTTTGTACCTACTGCCCCTCCTGGAGCCCAGCCCTTCCCGGGGGATCTGGGGGAGGAGGGACGGGGAGACCTGGGACCACCTCGCCTTGCTGCACGTGCAGCCCTCTCCAGCCCTGTGCCCGTCCATGGCATGGGATGGGCACTGCCCAGGCTGTGCCTCCAATGGCAACACAGCGAGTGGGGAGGCCACACATCCCCTTCGCCTCCCCCCTCAGCAGGGCTCGTGAGGAGAACCAGGAGAATTTACAACAGTTCAAGGTTTGAGCAGAGCGGGGTAATTAAACACACTGAGGAGCCCGGGGAGCTCCTGGGCCGTGCATTTTGGGTACACCGTGATGCAGATTAATTAAAAAACACATAGTCCAGGTCCCAGGTGGGAGCCCCCCCACAGGCAGGGGGCAGGGGTGGGTGCAAAGGCTCCCATCAGCATCTCCCCCCCGGCGGGGGCAGCCGGCTGCGGCCGTGGGCACTGCGTGAAGGTAACCCACGGTCCCACTGCAGGTGTCGGCCGACTCCAGCTCCTCCATGAACTCGGGCGTGATGCTGGTGCGGCCCTCCCGGCTCTCCTCCAGCGGCACCCCCATGCTGGCCGGCGTCTCCGAGTACGAGCTCCCCGAGGACCCGCGCTGGGAGCTGCCCCGGGACAGGTGAGGGGCAGCCCTGCCCCGGGTGGGAGCTGGGTGAGGGTGGTGGTGCCGATGCCGGTGACCGACCCGCTCCCCCCACACCGGGGTCTCCTCCCGGCAGGCTGATCCTGGGCAAGCCCCTGGGAGAAGGGTGCTTCGGGCAGGTGGTGCTGGCAGAAGCCATTGGCCTCGACAAGGACAAGCCCAACCGGGTGACCAAGGTGGCTGTGAAGATGCTCAAGTGTAAGTGGGGGTTCTGGCGCGGTGCTGGAGCCCTGGCTGGTGCTGGGGGTATGCAACTGGGGCGTACCCCACCTGGTCCCCCCTGACCACTGCTCTATCCACTTTAGCCGACGCCACAGAGAAGGACTTGTCTGACCTCATCTCTGAGATGGAGATGATGAAAATGATTGGCAAGCACAAGAACATCATCAACCTGCTGGGAGCCTGCACGCAGGACGGTGAGGGTGTGCAAGCGGGATGGGGGTGTCCCCTCTGCCACCCCTCCAGCCACATCCATCCGCTGAGAGGGGCTGGCCTGGCACCTGTGGGGTCATGAGCCCCCACT